CTCCCCCCCGCCCTACCTCCCTGTGGCTCATTCATGCTCTAGCTCTAGCTGGCCTTCCAAAAATACCCAGCACATGTAGTCTACAAAGGAGTAGTTCCTACACAAGGTCACTCCTTCAAGACTGGGAGAAGTTGCTGTTTTGCCTAATTTATAGTAACAAACAGAGAGATAGCCAAAATGAGGAGACAGAGAAATATGTCCCAAATGAAGGACCACTACAAAACTCCAGAAAAATAACTAAATGAAACAGAAACAAGCAATCTATCAGATAAAGAGCTCCAAACACTGGTTATAAGGTTGCTCAATGAACTCAGAAGTATAGATGAATTCAGTGAGAATTTTAACAATGGTATAGGAAACAAAAAAGGAGATCTAACACATAAAAAAGAATCAGTCAGAAATGAAGAATACATTAAATGGAATCAACCTCAGGTTAGATGAAGCAGAGGATCAAATCAGCAATTTAGAAGAAAAGATAGCAGAAAACACCTAATCAGCACAGCAAAAAGAAAGAAGAATTTAAAAATTGAGGATAGTTTAAGTAACCTCTGAGACAACATCAAACATACAAACATTCAAACCATAGGGTTCCCAGAAGCAGAGGAGTGAGAGAAAGGGACAGAAAACCTATTTTAAAAAACAATGGACAAAAACTTCCCCAACCTGATGAAGGAAACAGACATCTAGGTCTATGAAGCATGGAGAGTCCCAAATAAGGTAAATTCAAAGAGGTCAACACCAGACACATCATAATTAAAATGCCAAGAGCTAAATGAGCAAGGATTTTTTTAAACTTCAAAGTTGGAAGCAAACAAACAAATACGTTTAACTATATACCAAATGAGTAACAACCATATTAGAAGAGAAAGGAACACTTCCCAACTCTCTTTATAAGGCCACCATTGCCCTGATATCAAAATACCACAAGAAAAGACAATCACAGACCAATATCCCTCAACAACATAGTAACAAAATCTTCAAAACAATAGTAAATAGTATAAATCAGTGTATTATAAGGGTAATGTGTCATGAACAAATGGGAATATAAGTCTGGTTCAACATTAAAAAATTAATCAATGTAATTCACCATAGCAACAAATTAAAGAAGAAAAAACAGTGATGATTTCAATAGATGTAGAAAAAGTATTTGACAGACAGAATTCAACATTCACTCGTAATAAAAATAAAAAACTTTCACAAAACTGGAAACATTCATTAAGCTGATAAATGACATCTATGAATACTCACAAATAACATCATACTTCATGGTGAAAGACCCCTAAGAGCAAGAACAATGGTCTTTTCTGTTTCAAATTGTACTGTTCATCTGGGACTCACTAAAAAGGGATACGAAAGAGCTTTCTAGGGTGATAAAAATGTTCTAGATTTTTATTGTAGTAGGTAAATAATCTATACATTTGTCAAAACTTAACAAATTACACACTTAAAATGGGAACACTTTGTTATACATAAACTACACCACAATTAAAATTGATAAAATACATGGCTTAAGCATTGCTGATTCCCCGTAGACATTATCCACAGCTCTCTTTTCACCAAGAAGCCTCTTTTCTAGGAGTACTTACACACATCACTTAGATTTTCCATAATTAATTTGGCCCCTAGAGGGAACCCATGTTTCATAAACTGAAAAGCTTGGCCACGATTTGAATATCACAGAGAAGAGTAATACGTGTGAAAAATGTTATTAACAGATTCTAAGAATTTAGTAATAAACTTTGATAAAACTCTTTTTGGCCATAATGTGACTTGTGGAAGGGATGAAGCTCCTTTCATTAGTGTATTTAAAGAGAGAACCCAGCCATCGCTGGCGTGGCTCAGGGGTTAGTGTCTGACTGGGCCTCAGAGGGTCTTATTCCTGGTCAAGCTTGCACCTGAGTTGCAAGTCCGACCTGCCCCCAGCAGGGACCCCTGGTAGGCAACCAATCAAAGTGCTCTCTCTCTCCCCCCTCTCTCTCTGCCCTCTCCCCCCTCTGTAAAATCAATGGAAAAAATATCCCTGCTCCTCAGGGTAAGAATTAAAAAAAAAAAAAAAAAAGTGGACCCAATCTTGACTGTCATCTAAATGTTGTGAGTCACTTAAACATAACCGTGGCATATTTTGTATTGATTTGAGAGACAGACAGAGAGAGGGTGATCTATGGACTTGTTGGTCACGGATCTATACATTCATTAGTTGGTTCCTGTAGGTGTCCTGACGGGATGGCACCCACAGCGCTGGCACATTGGGACGATATGCTAACCAACTGAGCTGCCCAGCCAGGGCACCGTGGAGTGATTTTTAAAATAAGGCCATACTTTTGGTTACAAAAGTTATACATGTTCATTATAAAAAAATTGAAAACTGCAGAAAAGTGGAATGAAAGAAGAGGAAGAGGTAAAGAATTAAAAGGAGTAACTGCCATAATATGCATAGTCTGTAAGTCAGAATGCTGTCAAAATTTAGGTGCATTACCCCACAGCTTTTATTTACACATTAATTTTACTTGATTGTAGTCACATATAACAGTTAGAATTTGACCACTATTTGGTATCTAAAATAAAGTATAAATTAAATATTTGTTCATAATATAGAATATTCATAATTACATTAATTATGTTTCTTTGAAGTGTTTTAATAACTAAGAAAGTTATACTAAAACCTTATTAATACTTAGTAGCCAAATTTAATTGTTCATATTTCTTTGGTGACTCTAACTCTCTTAGGCAGGAAAATCTAATTGAGTCATTACAACTAGAAAGGGGTGGGCAGTGGATGGCAGAATCATTTTTTTCTTATACTAAATAATCTCCACTTAAATTGTTAGGGGGGAAAGTGTAATCTATGAACTGGAAAAAATCTCGGACATAAAGAACAGTTTTTGCATTATTTACATATTAGGCTTATGGCACATTTCCAAGGAAAAAGAAACTGCGTATATTTAACTAGGTTTTACCTTGTCACATAACAAAAACATATTCAGGCTTAAGTAGAGGGTCAGTGAAATGGGTAAGAAACAGTAAGTTTTGACTTACTGTTATTAAGTGGACTTATCTGTACTATTATTAAAATCCATTTGGCACAATGTATGTTTTAACTGACAGAAGAGATAAAGGGAAGAGAGTTAACATAAATGTTAACAATATTAAGAATAAACAGTATTTATTAATATTTATTGAAAACTTATTATTACATTCCTGGCATAGGTATTGTGTGTTTCATCATTACCTTTCCTTCATTTAATTCTTACAACAGCTTAATAAGGGTTTTCCTTCTCATTTTACAGATATAGAATCTGAGTCTCTGAGAGATTAAATAATTTTTCCAAAGTCACACAGCTAGTATGTGCCAAACTTAGGGTTGACAGACAAGCCTGTCTGGCTGTCACAGCCTTACCTTTAATCTACGCACTCATTTCCAGGAACTTCCATGAATGTAAGACCCTTCCAAAGCAGGACTGCTTTATCCCATGTTAAGATGCATCGCCATCATGATGTTGTATTAGAAGAAACCTCAGCCTAAGGAATTAACTTAAAAGGCCTATTTTCTTCAGTCCCAGAAAAGAACTCCAAAGGGCAATTTGATTTCTAACTCAAACCAAAGATGAGATTCTTGGTTTACTTCTACTACTTTATCAAATATCAATAGCAAATAACAATGTAGGGAGCGGTTTGCCCTTGTACTTATGTTTGTTTTATCTCCCTCATTGTCTAGGGGCTATTTTGGTGACTATAACATTATTTGTATACACAGATGATCTTACTATATTGGTTGCTTTTATAAGACATCTTTTTGGCACTATATTTGAGTGTAAATGAAACCCTTTCTTAGCCTCTATAACGAGAAGAGAATAAATCACATCCCCATGATGTTCTTTATTGAGGTTTTTAACTGATACGGTGTAAAAAGGGGTAAGTTTGGGAATCATACCTGAAAGCATATAACAGTCAAGGCAGTTTTGCATTTATTTATGAATTTACAATACAGTGATTTTAAAATTTAATGTAATGACTATTTACTCAGAACATACTGTGTGCCTATATTAATAAACTGGTAATGGATTAAATTATCTGTAGTCATTGCCAAGAATGCATTAAACATCCATTCTAGGTTTAAAAACTCTTAGTAAAATATGACTGCACACTTACTGTTGGGGTGCCTAAAGAACTCAAGAAACCATCTCAGCACTAAAACATATACAAAAAAAAGAAAAAAAAGGTCAGATGAGTGGCAAATGAAATCGAACCCAGTATTTAATATTGCTAGAAACAGACACAGGAAGATATAGCTTGAGATGCAAGCGAAATAGACTCCCAACTGAATACCACAAATCAGCAGAAAGCCACCAAGTCACTGGCAATGTCCACCCAGAGGGACCTCACACACACGGAGGCCCTGATTCCAAGAGGAAAAAGGGAAGTAGTAAATTGAGCATGTCTGATTCATTCTTTCCAAACAAGGTAAGTTATTTATCCTCTGATCAGAATCGTAAAAAGGACAAGTAAAGACTAGAAACGTTATGCAATTTCACCAGCTCAATTTTAAAAGAAACGTCAATGTGGAAAAGTGTTCTTCCAACAGGTATTTTTAAAATACAACAAACAGATTTTCAGAAGTACTAGACAGTAGAATTAGACAAGGGAAAGAAATGAGATACAGAGATTAGAGCAAAAGAAGCGAAAGACTAGAAGCACCCTAATTATATCCATATGAAACTTTCTAAATAAATAATGAAATACTGTGCTTCACATCTCTCTACCTCTACCGAGATATATGAAAATATTCACTGAAATCAAACATTCATCAAAACACATTTTTAACAAAGCAAGGAAGGTGCAGAACAGTATGCATGGTATTTCTCCATGTGTACCATAAAAAACTGTGTGTGTGTGTGTGTGTGTGTGTGTGTGTATTACTGTAGTCTGCAACATGCACACACATATAAACACACGGGCTGATTTATATAGAGAATATTTTTTTCCAAGAATGATACTTACAGGTTCTGGGAAGGGAAACGAAGATCCAGAGTGGAAGGGAGTGGTTTGAGGGTTTGGGGGATTTTTTTGTTGAGTGTCTCTTTTGTTTTTGTTTTTACTATATAACCATTTTTACCATTTGAATTTTTATAATGTGCACATACTTTTTCTTCAATGAAAAAGTATAACTAGTTTACCTGCTTGGTGTTTTAGCTTCTGAATAATTAACAGTGTGTCGAGTAGAGTGCTTATGAAATGATCATAAAGGTAGTTGGGAATTTGGATCCTTCTGTCAGTGGACTATTAAACTGTGAAAAGCTCAGGGAAGACTGGGCTAGTTCTCGGGCCAGCTAATAGTGTTCTGCATGTTTTGAGGCATATCATAAGAACAAATAATAAGAAATTTTATAAAGAATCAGATTGTGTAAGCCACTTGTTATGGACTATTGAATTTGTCCCCCAATCCATATGTTGAAGTCCTAAGCTTCAGTACTTCACAATGTGACCTTATTTGGAGATAGGCTACTTTAAAAGGGAATTAAGTTAAAATGAGGTCACTAGGGTGGGCCTTATTCCATTGTCATTGGTGTTTTTATAGAAAAGGAGATCAGAACGCAGACACGTACAGAGGGAAGACTCTGTGAGCGTACATGGAGAAGACAGCCATTTGTAAGTCAAGGAGAAAAGCCTCAGAAGAAACCAGCCCTGAGGACATTTTTACCTTGGACTTCTTCTAGCCACCAGAACTATGGAAAAATAAATTTCTTTTGGTTAAGCCACTCAGTCTGTGGTACTTTGTTGTGGGAGCCCAAGCAAACTAATACACCACCTAAACTCAGTGACTACAGGTGATAGACAGCCCTTGGATCTCTAGAAAAATGACCTGATGAGATCCGCTCTGTAGAGCAATCCCTTTGCAGTAAATAAGATTGACAGGAGTGGGCAGCCTGGAGTCTCGGGGACTGGTTAAGAAGTTATGCCAATAGCCTAGTGAAAGCTGATAAAAGGCATAATTAAGGCAATTTCACAGGGAAGGGAGAGGAGTTCCATATGAGAGTTGTTAAGGGTTAGAAATGGCAGGACCCAGAGCCCAGTTGGATGCAAACAGAGGGAGAGGGTCAGCCTGTGATGAAACCAAGGCCCCTGGCTTAGACACCTGAGAGAACCGTTTAAAAAGGAAAACAGAAAGGCAGAGGAGTCGTGGGTCCCCACGTGAACTCTGGGAGAGCTGACTAAACCACAGCAGTTACCTGCTGCCATCGGCAACAAGCAGAAAGTGCAGAGAAAGCATAAATCCAGATGAGGATCGCAGAAGCTGGAGACCAGCGAAGGGAGGCCGGCGGAGCTGGCAAGGAGCAGCAGGCAGGATGTCTCCGCCTGGGAATTACACCCTCACGGGCAAGAAAGGCACCTCGCCAGAAACACAGGGCCTCTTTCCAGAGCCTTCCCCCTCGGCGTTCCAGAGGCTGGGTGCGGCCGGGTGGAGCGGGCCTTGCTGCCCGAAGGGGGAATGGGAGCAAACGCAGATAACAGTCTTGGCATCGGCACTTGGCTCTGCCTTTATCAGGTTTTATAACCTTGGGCAAGGCAGTTGGTTTCTCTTTGCCTCATTTCCTTTCACTAGCAAAATCTGGGTGAAGATGAAACGATTGTTATTATGACATTTTATTGGCTAATTAATAGAGGGTGCAGAAAAAGCCTCTATTGACTGAGCCAGGAGGTGGGGAGGAGATGAAAGACGTTCCATCTTTTAGGACCCAGAGCCAAAACAGAAAATGGCATTTTCAGAGAACCAAGAAGTGATTTGCTATAACTAGAGCATGGAGTCTCATAGAGACGAAGTGAGAAAACCTAAATTATAAGCTGTTAAGTAACTTGACCAAGATTGTGTAGCTAATAATGCTCTGATCTGTGAATTAAGCATGTCTTCACCAGGACTTACATTAAACTATTAATCATATGCAAACTCCCGACACCAGCATAGAAACAGGAGAAGAACATTGCCAAGGGTAATACTCTGATAGTCCTTAAACTGAGGTCTTTAAATAACATTTAAATTTTTTCTTCTCACACCTGTTTGTTAAACTTATTTCTAAAGGCTTTTGTACCTGGATGCTATTATAAAGGGTCCTTTTATAATAGTATATATGGTGTCTTTAATACTACACATTCCAATTTTTGAATATTAATTTATACTCATCAGCCTTCTAATTACGTATCTGTAAATTATTTTGCATTTTCTACATAGACAATTACCTCATCTGCTACTAATAGCAGTTTTGTTTTTCCACTTATTATAAATTTTAATGTCTTTTTCTAAATTTACTGCACTGGTTAAAATTCTCAGTACAAGCTTAAAGGTAAGTGGATAATAGCAAGTACTCTTGTTTTGCTCTCACCAAACCTCTTCAACATTTCACCACTAAGTATAATATTTATTGTAGATGTTTTAGGAGTTTATGAGATTGAGGAAGTCACCTGCTATGAATAATTTCTCAAGTTTCCTTTTAAACCACAAGTGAATACTGAATTATTATTTTTTTTAATCCTGGAATTTTCATTCTGAGTTCAAACTATGGTGAGATGGTCAATCCTGAACCTAATGAACTTCTGAGGAGTCTTGGAGATGAACATAGAGCCCTGTGGTCTGTGAACAGCGTTTGAAAACTTCAGAATTAATTTAATTGGGAACTTAAACAGAAACACAGAACATTGTCCTTGAGATTTGTGCAATATATGCTCTCCCCTCCCAATAATAAGTGAGATCTTAAAGAGATTCTAAAAGCAGAACAAACAAACAAAAACACACCAAAAAGATTGTCAGGGATATTGCTAAACAATATATGGCAAATATTTTATGATGCAGCTTGGGAGATACATGTGTAGATTACCAAACCTACAGAACCTTGTGCATAGAATTACATGTATTATGTACATATTACATATATAGGAATAAATGCTTTCTGACTATTTATTGGTGAAAAGGTCCTTTCTTTCATTTTAACTGACATTATTCATAGTCAGTGATAGAAAATGTGGTGGTACATACAGAACGCTGTATCCTAAATATATGGTTAGTATAATATCTCAGACAAATTTGCTTAGAAATGCATATGTTTTATAGCTATTTTTAAGAACCTAATAAATATTATGGAATCACTTTAGAGTTTTAAATAAACCATTTTTTTAAAGGTAGTACTCTCATTTTTAGTAATCTAAATGGCCTCCTTTCAGAATCACATTGAAAAATGAAAAATTAATTTGCTTGGCTCTTGAGGACATATGGGCAATAATCATTATCAAACAGATAATATAAATATAAAAGACCAAACTTTCCAATTTTTAGGAGGCACTATAGAAAATACTTTTATTACTTTGAGAAGAGACTAGCCATGAAAAAGTTATTTCACAAAAATCTATTTTAAAAACTCCACAAATGCAACTTTTTGCTACATATATGTGACAAATGATCAGTATGCAAAATGTTTGTTTTTTAAAAAGCTTTTATGAAATGGCAAATAACAGAATGTATGGGGAAAATAAATAAAATTTCACAGCGGATAAACACATATAGCTTATAAGCAATGCAAAAGATGTCCAGTCTCAGTTGTAATAAGGGAAATGCAAATTAAAATCACAGTAAGATACCATTATATAGTAATTTGGCAATAATTTTTAAAGCCTGACAATTCCAAGTGTTGGCCAATAGGTAGAGGAAGAAGAACTTTCATGAATTGCTTTTGGGAGGAATAAATCACTTGGAGAATAGCATTCTTTGATGAAGTTAAAGATGTACATACCTGTGAGCCAGTTATTTCCCTCCTATATTTTTATCCCAGAGTATTTCTGACACATGTATAGCAGGAGACCAGTACAAAAATGTTGAAGACTGTATTTTTTCATAATAGCAAAACTGTAAGCCACCCTAATTTCAACCTAACAGTGGAGTAGATAAATAAATGTTGGTGTCATCATAAAATGGAATAGCAGTTATTTGTAAAAATAAATCATCCTAGATTAAACTCACAAATGTATAGTGAGAGAATTGTCATTTATATATCATCTCATTTATTCAAACTCAAAAAACCAACAAAACTAAAAATTAATTTTTTATAATTTCTCTCATAGGTGAAACCATCTTCTCTCAAGAACTGTCTAGCTCTTTATTCAAATTATAATACACAACCCTGAGGGGACACATCTGGAAAGCTGATGAATATTCTATTGAGCTCCTCCCCTGAGACCTCCCCTAAAATCCCCACTTTTAAACTCTTAAGACAAGGAACCCAGTTCTCTGTCTCTCTCTCTCTCCCAGGAGCATACCTGTCCCTTCCCCCCCTCCCTTTCCCAGGCTTGTCTTTTTGTCTGTCTTTCTCCTAAGCTCCAAGGGCCCTTCTTTTGCTTCTGTAACTTGTTTCCTAAGCCCACGCAGCCCAACTGACTCACTTCTTCCATGGCTCACTTCTTCTACCTTTGTGACTTTCTAAATAAACTTTGCTTGTATTTGAGTCTTGGATCTAAATTCTTTCTTAGCCAAAACTCAAGGACTGAGGTCTAACATCTAGTGCCAATTCACCTTTAACGGTCCCGGATGAGAGAGATTACAGAAGTTTTATATTTGTTAGGATCAGAGCAATTAACAGGACAAATGGCTACAGATTTAATACTCATGGTATGTGAGTAATCTAGGGCTTTTCACAAGAACAGGGAGGAGTCCAAGGGAATTTTATTTCCCACAGCCTAAAACATGTGCTCCTGACTTAGAGTTCAGGAAGGAGTCAGTGATGGCATTTATGCAGCTTCCAGAATGGTTCCCATTTGTTTACCTCTGTACAATTTAAAAATTGCTTTTCTACCTTATCTCATTGATTCTGAGAAAATACCATTGAACTTATAAAGAAACTATTATTTATATTAAATTTTCAGGGGAGAACATGGAGGCTCAGAGTAGCTGTACCCAGGTGCTCAGGACAAGCCTGGTCATGCACCCACCGTCTTCCTCCTGCTGAAAAGCCCAGGGACAGGTGCTGAATCAGAGATGAGCCCTCCTAACTTTTGCATAAACTGTCCTGCTTTTCAGATTTCAGTACAGTCTTTTCAGTGACTCAGACCTTTCCTTTTTCCTATCATTAGATGCCAGCCTTTGTGTCTACTTCGAAAGCTGGATGTGTTCCTGTCATCCTGGGGCAATGCAAATTGAAGTTTACAGGTTTAGAAATGTTTAAACCATCACCATACCTGTGAAGCACTGGAACAGCCTTATACTTGTGCCTGTTATCTTTCCGTGAAGGTTAGAAAATGAAGCCCTTCTCTACTTGACCTTTTACCCAGAGGAAGCACTCACCACTTGCTTTATCTGCCCCCCCCCCCCTTGGCACAGGTTATTTGAGTTCTGAGGAAGAATCTGTTAGGGGTGGGAAAATGGCAACCTCAGTTCTTGAATTCTGGCTAAGAGAATTCAGAGCAAAACTCAATGATAAGACACAGTTTATTTAGAAAGCCACAGAGGTAGAAGAAGTGAGGCATAGAAGAAACGGGCTCAGGAAACAGTTACAGAAAAGAAGGGCCCTTAGAGCTTAGGAGATGGGAAGGGAGAGGGAGAGAAAGCACACCCTGGGGAAAGAAGGGACTGGGGAAGGGGGAAGGCACCGGTGTGCTCCAGAGAGTCGCACTGGGCCCTCTATCCTGAGGGCCTTTATCTGAAGTCTCAGGAGGATCTCAAAAGGTTATTCACCAGCTTTCCAGGGGTACCTCCTCAGGGTTCTGGCCTCCGCTGATTGGTCAGTGCCAGGACAGGGGCCATTAGTCATTGCAGCGGGTCCTGAGGTCAGCAGTGGAATTGCTTCATCTGGTTTTGCTGCTTTTCTGGGCCTGGAGCTGAAACACAGCCGAGGCCTGGATGTCATCATCAGGGGTGAATGCTTAAGGGAGTGGTAGTACACGGCTTGTAGTTTTGCCTGTTCCTCGGCACACAGGGTTCTCACCCTGGTGACCCTCTGCACCTGGCCCATTGTTCATGCTCTGCTCATGCCTATATAACTGCCTACTGCAGATCCACTTTACAATTTAACTTCCAGCTTCATTAAGAGGGAAATGTATGTATAATTTGAAAAATCATTTAACAAAATAATTTCAACAAGAGCTCTTTTAAAAATATGTGTAAGCATTTGAAATATTTTAAACAGCTAGGATTAAGAAACAGATTGGTTATACTAAAATAAAATGAAGCTTTTGTGTAAAACAGGAATTCTTAGGGTGAGGGCCTGCAAGGACTTTGAAAGTGTATCAAATATGCTTGCATGAACAGGAGTGAAACTAAGAGAAGTGCCAACTAAGGCTAGTCATTTAGTGGGTGTGAGCTACAGTCTATTATAAATTTATAGTACTTGGATATTCAGGAGGAACAAGAGATCCAGAAGTTAAAACAAATCAAAGCAAGAAACTTTTATAAAAACTTTTATTTTCATGTTATTTGAAAAGTACATCTATAAATATAACTTCTCTATTCCAAGACATAGAGAAACAATGCATAATTGACACTAAACAAGGCATTATGCCTTACTAGGTAGACATAAAATGTCCAAGGGATATTTAGAACATTAATTCACTTCAACATCAGGGATGATGACCACATACTGCGAAACTGTTTCAATAAATAACAACTGACATTCTTCTCAACAGTACAAAAGTAGGTGTACGGGGAACATTTCCCTGCCTTAACAGTGACCTATTTGCTTGAACCCCCCCCCCCCCC